TATAAAAAAAAAATATATATTTATATATATATATTATATATATATATATCTTAAATCTGTGCTTGTTGTCGCGTTGACGTCACACTGCGTTGTTGCTGTTGTTGCTCTTCATGCACTGGGTTCGCTTGCGCTTATCACATGCCTTAAGTGGGCCACTCAAAGTCTGCGCTGCAGCTTGCAACGCCAAATACAGATGACAACAGCTGCAAACTGTCAATTAATCATTAACTAGATTCATGCTGGAAAGCTCTTTGCATAATCAACGTTAAAAGCTATTTGAAGCTTAAAGTCAGGCAGAACTCTCAGCTTAAGTGCGGTCAATTAAACTAAGAGTTCTAATTGAAGCTTTGAAAGCTTCAAATTTTAAGTAGTTATAAAGTACAGCTTTGAGCTTGCAGTAGATCATCTCATCACTCACTTTAATTGAAGAAGTCATTGAAACTTTAAATAAAGCCACATCTTTATAGAAACTACTATATAAATGTGTTACAAATATGTGAAATGCGTTATTCTCTAATAGAGTGAAAACTTATAGACGCATATCTCAACTTAAACTTTAAAAGCTCTTTCTTAAAGCACAGATTTTATACTAATTATATACTCATATTTGTATCATCAATTAAAAATTAACTTTGAGCTTTTGAGCTTTGCTTAAGGCAAAATAATGTGCTTTCGAAGCTTTTATGCATTTCTTCCTCAATTTTTTAGCTAAAGTTAGCAATAAAGGCATAAGACAAGCAAGTTAGCTTTTCAGTTGAAAAGCTTTTTGTTGCTAAAAGATGTGCTTCAATTGAAGCTTTAAAATTAATTTTGCTTTCCAATTAAAACTCGTTACTAATCTAATTTACTAATCTAATTAGAGCACGTTGAATTCATTAAACTTTTAGGAAATGCGTGGTTTTCAGGCACTCGGCACCTTTAGTTGCTAAGCTTAACTAGTAAATGAATCTAAAATGCGCTTTCAAAGTTGTTGTGCAACTTCTCGAATGAAACAACAAAATAAAATTGCTCAACTTTTTATTTCGAATCATTTCAACAGCTTTAAAGCCACTAAAAGTGATATTCATGCAGCATTAAAAAGCAGAAAAAAATAAAGGAGAAACATAAAACGAAAACGAAAATGAAAATGAAAATTCAAATGATTTTTCTATACAAAAATAATAATAATTGGCCATAAACCTTTTTGGCCGTGCGCCCAGTTTCGAAAATGTAGCCTTTTGTTTTCGGCTGGATTCGAAAAGTTCTAGATTTGAAAAGTCACTCGAGTTGCTCGAGTTGCATGCAACATGCAGTGCGTCATTGTTGCCCCATTTGTTGCTGCTCGTAACGGTAAACTTGTTTGTGAATTATTTTTATAATATTTTTTCTTCGCGCTGCAATTTTCTCATATTGTTTGCTTTTGCAATAAAGAACAACAATGGCAGCAGTCAAGCAGCAGCAGCAGCAGCAGCTGTTGTTGTTGTTGTTATTGTTAATCATGGCAATTACAGCAACAAACAACATGCCTGGCCAATTGGCGCTTACACGCTTTCATTAAGCAACAAACGCCGAGTGACGGGGCAGCTGCAAGTGAAGGTGGGGCGGCAGGTGGGGCAGCGCTGAGAGCTGCAAGTTAAGTGGATGGGCCATGGCGGGGGCCGCTCGGATCTGTAGACCGGCCGGTCTATTCACTCTAGCGTTGAAAATTAGCACTGACGCAACGCGTTCGCCGCTTAAATTGACATTTACGCGATAATTACGCGCTTATTATATTTATTACCAGTTTTTTCCGCATTTACTTCTTTCTCTTCATATATTTTATTGTATTTAATTTGCTCTTTTTTTCTTTTTTTCTTTGTTTTTGTGGTGCTCCACGTTCTTTGTCTGCTGCTTGGGGCACGTCAGCCAGCTGAGCTGCAGCGCAAAGGGAGTTGCAAAACCTTGAAACTAGAGAGCTGTCAGCTATGCGAGGAGTCTATTAAGCCCCCCAGATAGCAATAGACTCCACAGCTAATGTAACGACGTCATTTACTCTGCTGCTGCTGCTGCTGCTGCTGCGATTAGCAAATTGCTGGGTGTAGCCAAATCAAAAACAAAACAACAAAAAAGGCAATGATGGTTAAGGCCAAAAGGCAGAGCAGGCCAAGCAAAGCATATGGATGAACTCAACTCGAGTCAGAAGTGTTATCTTAGCGAGTTTAAGTAAATAATCAAATACAGTCTGTCTCTTTCTCTCTTTCTATTACCTACTCGCTCTGGCTCATTACATCGAGCTGCATTTCACCCACAACTAATGAGTGAGTCGAAAGCAAATATTAATTAATAACTGATTTGTTTACAAAACCAATTATCAATAGTGGGGAAAAAAGATATAAAAAAATATGGAGAGGATTTTTCCTCTAGCTAAACGAATTCGTTTATAAACTGTGTTTGCACAGACGCAACAACACAAACGATGTAAATTAATAAAAATATGAAAAGAGACGAACAACAACAGCAACAGAATTCAACAGTAATAAAAACACGCGTACGTAAGCGAGAAAATCACATTTTAGATTAGTGGCACTCGAAGGGAGCGGGTGGAGTGAGGGAGAGAACAGATGATCTCGGCAGCTATATTACGTCGTATTACGTGTTGGCACACGCGTGGCAATCGTCTCTTTCTATGTGTGTGTGTGTGCAAGGTGAGCGGGTTTCTTTTTGCTGTGTATTTTGTTGTTATCATTACACGAGTACATTATATTATAATAAGCGCGCAAGAGAGAGAGAGAGAGAGAGAGAGAAACAGAGTGGGGAGCGGAGGAAGCATAGCAGTGCTGCGCATATCAAAACATGAAGAAGACGACAAAATGGCGACGACAACAGATAGAATCCATAGCCTCCACATAACTAGAGCGTGCGTGCGTGTGTGTGTGTGTGTGTGCGAAATAAACACTTCCGCATTCGAGTTCGAATCCAATGAAACAATAACAACATCAACTGGATGACGGCGGCAGCATGTGCGTTGAGTGTGTGTAAGATAAATGCGGCCGGCAAAAAGTCAGCCGCGCTGTCTCGCTCGCACACATGACACTACGCTCGAAGCAGGGCTTACCCCTCGCGCTCTCTCGCTCGCTCTCCCGTCTTGTCTCTCGCGCGCATTGTAAGTAATTAAATTAAACTGGCGCAGCGCCTCGCGTTGAACTCAATTGAATTTTATTTGAATTTTATTACAGACATCGTCGTCAACTGCTGCTCTTGGCGCATTGCAGTTTATATATTATTGTTGTTATTGTTGTTTAGTTTCCTATTTTTTTCCTAGTTTTAGTTTTAGTTTGGTTGATTACGACGCAATTGAGTGGCCTGAGTCCCTGCCCGAGTTTCCAGCGGCAGCGGCAGCCGCAGCCGCAGCCCAGTTTCAGCGAGAGCATGACATGGCGAATGCTCTTTTCTTCTCTTTTTCTTTTTTTGTTCTTTTTATTATTATTATTGTTATTACTTTTATTATCAATTGAGAACGTGCTAGGCATTTTGTTTTCCTATTTTTATTTTTTTCTTGTTTTTTTTTTTTTTTGTGTTTTTGTTTACGCTCTATTCATTTTTTCACTTGTCGCTGCTGCGTTCTGTTGTTTTTGCACACTTGACTAATAGTTCGCCCGGCGGCTCGCGCGAAGCTTATCAATTGAAATTGAAATGAAATACGCCACGACAATCAGACTAATGAATTTCCAATGCGAATTTCCAATGCTCTCTCTACAAATTAAAAATAGATTTTATAGGGAGAGTTTTGGGTAAAGGAAATATATATTAATCTTACCTCAATAGTAAAGCCACAGATTTTAATTTTATATAATTTAAAGATACTACATAAAATATATAGAAAAACTGGTAAGGAACAGGAATTTAATATGAATTATCTTTCATTTTAAGTTCTTATTAGATTAAATATATTTTAGATTAATCTCATATAACAACCAATCAGATTTGTTTAACTTTCCTATTTGAAAATATATATTAAACAAGATAAACCTAAATTGATCTTTGTGATAAGCTCTATTTATGAAGAATTGTTAAAGAATCAAAGAATTCTTGTAAAACATTTTTAATTTTAAACATGTCTTTATACTATATGAAAAGCCCTGAAGATCAATTGGAATGTTAATCTATTCTATAAACTAACGATAAAAAGCACTATTTAATTATCTAACTGATATCTATTTCAAATATATAATATAAATCCTTAGCAATATAGCTGAAGAATTTGTTCTGGTTGAAGAACTTTTTCATATTTCTTCTACTTTTTCATTTAAAAACATATTAATAAAAATAGCAAATGAATATTATATCAAAAAAAAAAAAAAATCTATGGAAAATCATATAGCAGAACACAGATAAGGCACGCAGTGTGACTATAACACCCAGCAGCAGACCAGATATCGCGCGACTATTTGACGTCGTAATCAAGTGTTATTGTCGCGTCTTCGACTTCGACATCGACATCGACTTCGACATCGACGTCGTCGTCGTCGCGTCTGAGCGGTCAGTAATTGAAAATTTGAATTATTTCGCAATCAGTCGACGTCGCTAGCAAAACGACGTAGTCACTGCGAACACAGAAAGAGAGAGAGTGTGCGACAGATAGAGAGAGAGAGGGCAGGCGGGGCAAATTGGGCAGTGGGCACTTTATATAAGTGTAATTGCAGCGAACAACGGCACGGCGTCTATGCTAAGTAGCCGGGCGGTGTCTAGCCGGCTGAGCTCAGATAAGACAATAACAAAACTAGAATTCCACATAGTATATATAGACATGTGCATATACATACAGCACAGACTGTATCTGTCCGTGACTTGTCGGTCTGTTCCGCTAATTTGTCGCCGCTTATGAATTATTGATATAGCATAGACTCTAGAGGAACGCCAAAGTTGCATTTTTATGCAAAGAGGCGAGACGAAGGCGCATGGAAAATTTTATAGGTTGCACGCTACCCATTAGACGCAAGTAAAGGATTTAGGGTAGGGTATTTGCAAGTCGGGCTACTCACTTGTTCGGCGGCGTCAGCGGCAATGGCACATCAATACTGTGTGTGGTACGGCGACGATCGCCTCCCATGTCGGCCAGTCGAGCAAAGTCCGTGTCCCGATCCTGATCGGCCAGACGAGCGGAGCGCCGAGACTCCAGCAGACGCACTTCCTCCAGACGCTTCTTCAGCTCGATGGGTTCCTGCAATCGAAAACATTTCGTCAGTTAAATACTCTGAAAATTACATTCCCAATTGTTTATCGCATTTCTAAAGAATTTCCTATCGCATCGGCTGCTGGGTTTTTGCTTTCTCAGCACAAAGTCAAAAAGCCGCAAATTGTGAATCATTTGATTTTAATTGTCATCAAAACTTTAATTGTTTTTCGTTTTTTTTTTCCTGCTTTAGTTTATAATTGCGAGTGAAATACGTGAATTTAGTATGGCCCCATATCGATGCTATATATATTCCTAGAAACAAATTAAACTATTGTCACGCAAAGCCTAAACACAACTTAAATATCAACAATTGCAGCTAAAAATTTCCAAGAAATTTCCATTATTATCTAAATGAATCACTTCATTTAATTATTTTGAAAGAAAATTATATTTATATGTATATATATGTAAGAATATCTATTCTGAATTTTTATTTAGTACTTATAAAACAACTACACAATTTTATATTTTTTATTTGATTTTTAATTGTGATTTGTTCAAAAAAATAGTATTGCCAATGAGCACTAACAATTTTCAACACCAAATTTATTGATAAACACAATATTATATATATATATATTTTTTTCTTTTTATTTATATTTTTATTGTATTTATTTTTATATTAAAGCAATTTTAACGTTTAACCCCTTTATTTGATTATACCCTGTATCAAATTCTTTAGGTTTCTGCATTCTCTTTGAGATACATTTTCTGTCTGTTTTTCTAATTTTAAATTCGATAATTTGAAATTCCTGAAAATGCCAAAGGTACTCGATAACATTCACAATTACAGCTAGGTGCGAGCTTTTCACATAGCTGTAAAAGTTGCGTCTTAAATCACATTTGTAACAGTCTGGCAACTCCATATAGCTAGATATATATAAGGCATGCCCAGTTGCCAATTGCGTGCAGTTTTGACAGTGGCTAGGCGATAATGCTGTTAGCGCTTGAATCCAACCGTTTCACCTGGCTTTTGGCCTCTGTTAAGGAATGCGCATTGACCTTGAGAATTTGGCCAAGAGCTGAGGGCAGCTAAACGGGTCAGACACGCCCCAAAAAGCAAATTTGTATACTCATTTAATATATTTTTGTATAGCTATTCTCTTTTCTTGACACCTTTTACATTTTCACACACGCACACACACATGCACACCCAGGTGCATTTAGTATTTGTATCTTTATGTAATCACCTTTTCTCTCTATATATTTTTTTTGATTTGTTGTCGCGGCAACCTTCAGAAATTGTGAATTTTACACAATTCTCTTTGGGCTGTTTTTAGCAATTGATTATGACAAACATCTGTATTTTAACGTTATTTTCAAATAATTTGTATTTGTATTTTATTTAATTTTTATGTATTTATTTATAAACTTTTTGCTGCTTGGCCCGTTGCAACTGCACTGCTGGCTATAAATATGAGATATTTAGCTAAACACACAAATACACATACACAAATATATATGTAACTATATATATATGTATGAATATGTCGCGCACCTGTATCTGACTATCTGACAGATTAGATATTCAAATGTACTTAATTTGTCACTCTAATTGTAATTGCAATTTTATATTTAATATTTTCGAATGCCAAATGGAGCGATTCGCTTGTTGTTGTTCCGTTAATTGGGCACAAAACGCCGGCCGGCGACGTCAGCAGCGTTTTGACGGGGCGAAATGCGTCAGCGGGGCGCGTATCTTACAGATACAAGGCGAACACACACACACATACACTCACACACACGCAGAGCGAGAGAGAGGGAGAGAGAGTGAGATATACACACGCACACGCAGGCAGTGCTGCGGCAGTGAAGAATTCGTTGACGTCGTCGTTGAGTTTATTTTTAATTATTTAAATATTTGGTTGTTATTTTTTTTTCTCTCGCCAATGTCTCGCCTGCTGAATTTGGGCTACTAGGCCTCGTTCTTAATTTTGTGTGCTTCTTTTATTTGTATTTGAGCTTCTTCTTTTTTGTTGCTTCTTCCACACTTTGAACTTGGCCAAAACACACACAAAAATTTCACTTGCACTTTTGTTTCACTCGCTCGACTTTAAGTTTCACACGCTTTCGAAATTTTTGGTCGGTCTTCCGTAGCGGAGTTTTGGACTTTGTTGTCCCTCTTATTTGCTGTTGTTGTAGTATTTTTTAATTCTTGGGTATTTTCTTGTTGTTGGTTTGTTTTTGCTGCTGCTCTTGGTGTGGTGCGAAAGGTTCGCGCGCGCATTCAAGAATAATTCTGTGCGGCGCTCGCTAGTCGTTGCCGGGTCCGCTGGCAGTGCTTCGGCTCGTCATTTGGCATCGGTTCGGCGACACTCGTGGAGTTCGGCTTACACTCGGCGGCGGCTCTCTTGCGGCGTTGCTCTCTTCGATGGCAATCTTTCCGGTGCGCTCTCAGCAACTTGTGACGTTTGTTTTTGTTTCTATGCTTTGTGCTGGCTTTTCGCATGCTTTGGCCGCCGACTGCCGCTTGTATGGTGCCGTTTGTTTATGTATCCCACAGTGAAGGCGTATTCGTGTATCTATCGTTGTGTTCGTATATCTCGGCAACAATTGCACTCGCACTCGGACTCGCACTCGCACTCGGCCCAGCGCCAGTTCCTCTGTCCCAGTTGCGGACCAATTCGCACTCTCACTGCGCCGTCGCGCGCTCTCTTCGAGTGCAACTCAAATGGGCAAAAACTAAAATCCACTCAAGCTTTTTACGTAAGACAAATAGAAGAAAACGATAGATGTTGCATATGTGTGTGTGACTTTTGTTTGCCGCTTGCACTGAGCAACCGCCCGCAGGTAGCTGCATTCAACTCACTTTATATAATGTTTACCTGTTGTCTGTCCGTTGCCTGACTTTAACGGCCCGTTCTGTGGGCCTTTGTTGTTTGCCCGGCTCAAAGCCAGGCTCTGTCCGTGAGCGTTCAGCGCAGCGCAGCACAGCGGAACACACAAAGGCCGTGTGTTGAAGCATTCGCCGATCGCGTTGTTCACTTTGATTTAAGAGCAATTAACTTTGACTTAAGAGAAATATTTTTGTTGTTTATGACGCGCCGACCGCGGACAATAATGATGATCAAGCCGACGCGAATGCGGACGTTCGGCTAGCGTCAATGACGAAACAAACACCACCCCCCGCTCAGCCTGCTGCCGCTCTCTTCATACGTTTCGGCTGAGCTCATGCTGGGATTTTTACTCTAAACGTGGGGATTTTTGTTACACTTTTTGTGCTTTACGTCTTAATGTTAGCATATTTATGCAGTGTTTATGACACATTTAATGCCAGCTGATGGCACAGTGGGCCAACTGATATTTCACTCGGCGATATTTCACATGCGACCGAGTGATCTTTGCTTTTCTTCTTTTAATTAGCGAGGCAGAACTTTAACTCTGATTGTTTGGGATTTCGAATATATATAAAATCCTTTGTTGATTATTTCCGTATTTATGCCAAATATAAACAATAGACTAATCATCAGCTTATCAGCGGCCTAGTTCGCATTGTTGTTTTGTTGACTGCCCACAAAATAATATTTGGGTTCCAAATCAAATTTCTATGTTGATATTTTGCCTCATATCATTTTTCAACTGTAATAGAAAACTTGAAAACCCCAAAAATTTGCTACTATTCTGATTGTTGTTGTTGTCGTTGTTTGTCGACTCATAGACAAAGAAAAACACAAATTTTGAGGAGGCAGGTTGGGTGTACTTTGTACATATGTATCTAAGTGTGTGTGAGTGTATGTAACGTATGCATATATGTATTCATGTATGCCATATAACCATATGAGTATATGCTATATGGACATGTATGTATGTAGATATATGCACATATGCTGATATGCTGATATGTTGCTGCTGCTGCTGCTGCTACTGCGTTGGCTGCTTGATGATAATGGGCAACGTTTGCGGTTGAAGATAACGCTTATCGGCCCTAACGTCTCTATTCACACGACTTATGCTATATGCCGCATGGAACGTTGCGACGGCTAAAACCGCATGGAACGCACACGCCCAGTAAGTAAATAAATAAATAAGCGAATTCGGTCTGGGAATATCGCTGGCCATGTGTGCTGGCCTGATAAGGCCACCTCGAGGCGATAAGCGATAAGCGCTCTTAACCACAAAAGAAACATTTGCGGACAATGCCAAGCGGTCAACTGCTCTAAGCCATAAATATTTTGAATATATAAATAGCTATACAAAAATATATAACTTTGATAAAAATTAATTTGAAAAAATGAAAAATATGTGACATACATCTACTTAAATGTTAAGATAATCAATCAAATATATTTTTAACATTAAATAAAATGCTTAAAATGCCATAATAAATCAATAAATATAAAAAAACATAATAATATATAGTAATTTAATAAATCTTATTAAAAATTAAAAATTAAAACTATGAGAATAAGAAAAATATAATATTAATAATAATATTAATATAAAATTAAATGTAAATAACAAATAAATTTTAATGTTAAATAAAAATTAAATAAGAATAATTGTAATAATAATAATATTAATAAAACATAATTATAATAACAAAGCAAATTATGAAAATAATAAAATGAACATACAAAAAAACAAATAAAAAAAATAAAAATATTTTTATTCAACTTTTTATGCTTCTTCTAACTATCAGCTAAGACGATAAATTGCATTGGCGCCTGCTCAAAATTTGTCACTTGACACACTCCACATGATCAACTCGATCATCATCATCTTCATCATGATGACAATGTTGAAGACGCGTGTCAATTCCGAACTTAATGCGAAGCCTTCTTGAAATGCGCTAAACGTGTGCCGAATACACGATCTGCATCACAAATGAGATATTTATGATTATGTATGAGTGCGATCGTAAATAGTTTTGGTTTTTGTTTTTGATTTGTCTTTTAGGGGACAACTGTTTGCATATTGATTGCATCCCACTTGCATTTAGCCAGCTGCAAACAGCGAACTGAGCCTCGACACACAATTACTGAATA